GGCGGTACAAGACCATAGACAAGAAGTGTTGCCCGGTCCCCGTGCTTGTCACGGAGGATGAGGAAGCCTACTATGAGCGAGGGGGGGTTGGTAAGGCGTATGCAGGAACGCGCGCAGGCAGGGCCGTGTCGCATCAATAATGAGAATGAGGAAGGGTTGATAATTGGCGAGCCTGGCTTCCTGTCGCCCCAGGAGAGGACCTTGATGGTGGAGACCATGAAGAGGAGGCATTGCGCGTATGCGTTTAATGATGACGAGCGTGGGAGGTTGGACGTGGATAAGATCCCGATGATACGAATCCATACCGTCCCACACGAGCCGTGGAACCTAAGGGGCGCGCGATACCTGAACCCGGTTGAGGATCAGACCGCTCTTTAAGTTTAGGTCGTCTGACTCGATGCCTCGCACATGTTGGAACCCAATGGATATAACTTGGATATATTGTATTACTATGCTATTACGAATAGGCTGGTCAGACCGCTCTATAAGTTTAGGTAGCCTGACTATAGCTTATCACAACTGAATGGAGTATAACTAAGAGATATAAATGGAGGTAAACTTGGGCAGGCTGAGCAATGTTCTAAGTTGAGCGGTTCAGCCTTATGTCCCTTTGAAGACTAAGTTCAGAAAGGTATATACAAGTTGGTTATTTAAACAGTTCAGGGCGACCAGAGTGGTCTAGTCATATGCCCAAAGAAAAGAGGAAAAGTTGTGTCCTCTGTTTGTATATACTTGGCCAAGTCAAAACGCTCTATAAGCTTAGGTATTCTCACTTTAGGACCGGCTAAGTTGGGTGCACTCTGTAAGTTCAGGCGCCCTGACCTACGCCTTATGTAAGTTGGGTATGAGGGGATAACTCACTGAAAGATTATGAATTATTGTTTGCTTAAATTGGCTTGGGGATGGTGAGAGTAATTACCTTGGTGGTTTGGCCTGCATGTGGCTGAGTGAGATTACTACTTGATCTGGATTTCAGGTTGACAGGTAGTTGCTTTAGAGGCTCGCCACGTGCTAGAGCGACAGGAGTTAGGTCAATTCCTTGCATTTTCTGAGCTGACTTTATTTTACTTAGATCAATTCTTACATTTTTTGGGATCTTCTGCTATACTTGGCTTTGTATAAATCTTGGCAAGCCACTTTCTCTACGGGAAGCGCTGCCGAAATTTCTATAAATCCAAGGAGTTAGTCAACTTTTGACTTGTCAAAGTTCAACTTGTCTACTCTTTATATCTGACCTAGTGAAAATTTGGGAAGTCCTCCTTTCTAAAGGGAGTGCTGCCAAAATTTTTGCTAATTCAGGAAGTTAGAGAAAATTGGACTTTAAGAAGTCAAAGTTATTTTTAGGTTCTGGACTTAGCTTTGTATAAATTTTGGAATAACACTTTTCTAAAGGGAGTGCTGCAAAAATTTCTGCAGAACTAAGGAGTTAGTTAAATCTTGTCTAAATTGGACTCAAGGTTGTTTTTGAGTTCGAATCTGACTTAGTATAAATCTGGAAAGTCTCCCTTTCTAAAGGGAGTGCTGCCCAAATTTTTGCTAATTCAGAAAGTTAGACAAAATTGGACCTTAGATAGTCAAAGGCTATTTCTGTTTTTCATATTTGGGCTGATATAAACTTTGGAAAGGCACTTTTCCTACGGGAAGCGCTGCCGAAATTTTCCTGATTTAGAGGAGTTAGATTATATTTTGACAGGTGGCGATTCTGGCAATCCACCCTGAATAGGGGAAATTATGTCGGGGTCTACCTTTGCTTTGGGCACGGCTTATAAGTAGATTGGGCCTTAGTCAATTAAGGTGATTTGAGTGGGATCGTGTTATGGGGTTTATTCTCCATAGACTTATAGGTTTAGCCTGGGGATTGACCTGTCTTGTGTTACAGGCCATCTTGATCGAGTTGATTCAGGATTTGGACTAGTTCCGGCTCGATCCTACGAGGGTCGTCTTCTGTTATCACTGATAACAGGTCGGTTGCCGATTCGTCGGTCTTCGACTCAATTCCAGCTCACCCTCCATACTCAACCTAAAAGGTCTTAGCCCTGGTGGTTTTACTGTTTGTTAAGGGTTTCACCCGGACTTTATTGAATGGTCATTTGACAAAGGTACCGAGTATTTAATTGAGGTTGGTTGGATCGGCGATTGGGGCTTGCATGGCTAAAGCGAAGGGGTATGAGCATAGAGAATGGTTGGGGTTGACTCCGTGTAGTGCGTGCTTTGCTGCTTGATTCTTGGTATGGTTGCATGTACGTCCTGTGGCTCGGATTTTGGATTTTGACCGCCTGGGATTCCATATACATATACATGGTTGTGAGGAGTCTCACTGTGCCTGTGAGAAGTGATCGTCATAACTCTACCCCCTTTTGCATGTATGCGTGGGTATACGCACGAAGGGTATTCGAGGGGCCTAAGGGGCTGTGTTAACAACCGCGTGGAAGTTGGGGCTAAGGGACAAGGAAGACCCTCCCTTCTGCCTACTTGCGTCTTTAGGCTTTCTTAGTCGGACATTGGTCCTGGGCCGGGATTCAAGGTCCTTGTCTAGGACATCCCGAGCCCTAGGCCCTGAAGGGGAGGGGTGTCCCCTCGCATAGAGCCTATCTACTTTGGCCGGCGAGACACTCCGCCCGAAGGGCGAGAATTTCGCGAGGGCCGAACGGCGTATTCTTCAGCCGTTCAATTTCGTGAGGGGTAACCCCTCGCGACGAGTTCCTTCAGCCATTCAATATCGCGAGGCCGAAGCCGCGGTTACCACATATGATTGGCATCAGTGGTTGGCATAGGGTTGCCCTACGGCCGCGCGGTTTTATATCAGAGCCCTGCGCGCTACGCCTCGCCGCCCCGGCGTCTAAAGGTTATGGGACCGCCGGGCTTGTGCATAGGCGCAGCACTTGGGATTATTGTAGGCCGCCGACACCGCCCATAAAGGGGAAGTGTGTCCAAGGTCATGAGTTGTTTTGTTTTAAAGGCCAGGGGACCTTTGCCCTATCCCCTCGTCTTGGGGTCGTGCGAGTCTCGTTGCTTCTTGGAAATTTTTATGGTTGGACGTTGTAGTCCGTGGCAGCCGTCAAAGTCAAACCCCTTGACTTTCGCCCAGGGCCCGGGGAGGACTCACCCCTAGGGCCGCGAGAGGCGACTACCACCACAGGCATGGGCCTGTGTACCACCCGCTCTACATAAGGGTGCAAAAGAGGGTGTGTGGTCTCCAACCGCGCATGGTGGTTGATCAGCGTCGAGAGATTAACCCTCTAGGCCCGTGTCAGCCGACACTTGAGTGTCGAACGCGACCCTCGAGATTAACGAGGACCGCGTGAGTATGGGTACTACATGGTACGCCATCATTGCGACCGCTTACATTTTGAGTCGGTATGGGTTAGCCCTGCGTCCGCGCGGTTTTATATTAAGTCTCGCGCGCGACGCTCACTCGATTTCCGTATTGGGAAGTTATGGAACGACTACCGAGGGGCTAGGAGCGTTGTCGCGTTGTTCGCGTAGTGCCCGCGTTGTTCGTGTTGTGGCGCGTTGTATTTCGTGTACGTGTGCGCGTGTGTTTTATTTTTGTGTTCGCAGCGTGGTGCGTGGGATGCGTCCTAGTCGACTGACGACGGGCCGCGCCTGGGACTTCAACCCCCCCAAATGTCGGTTCGCGTGCGGGTCCGATAGGCATATTACCGCACGTACCCCCTATGCTACACCGAACGAGAAACGCCCTCGGCTGGTCCACCTCTGCGATTGCAGTTGATTAGCTTTCGTACTGTGGACTGGTAGCTCGGCGGGGATACGCCCACCGAAGGGAGGTAACAACTCCTGTAAGGTGGAGGTAAGTTGTGCCTCGCGTAGGCCTTATCCTGTCGTAGGGGCTCGCGAGAGGTATGGTTGGCGCACTCGGCCGGAGCGGCCTAAGGAAGCTCCACTTGTGTGTTCGTGGCGAGGTTGGTCCAACTCCTGCGTGACGCGGCCGAGAGGGTCCCGCACTGCCGCGTGCGGTGCCGGACCGATGCGCTCGACAACGGAGGTCGGCCCGGGGATCTCCGTACATACGGGCTGGTGACCCTGGATATACTCATATAGCCGACAACTGGGCCCCGTGTCCCTTACATCATCTGCTGAGGCCAAACGGGCTAAGCCAGGCACTTTCGGCCAAAACCATCCCAATATCTTTGAACTGACCGCCCCCAGGTAATTCATTTTGTTCTGGTCATTTTTTATTTATTTTTATTTTTATTTATTTTTATTTTTATTTATTTTTCTTTTTTTTCTGGTCATTTTTCTGGATTCGAACTTGGGTCCCTATTTCAACACTTCGTGGGTGTACCTGAGCTACCCCCGTTGGTTGGACGCTGTGTTCCACTTGGCAAAGGTCCTGTCAATGCTGCCCTCTGGGCGAGGCTGGGAAGGAATTGAACCATGACGTGCCAAATTGAACATCTGTGCCTTAGCAACCGAGCTAGGTAGGCCCGTGGCCGGGGTGTGTATGTTGTGACGCTTCTGAGTCGCGGTTGCTCGGAAATTCCTGCTACCCGGTAGTCCATTGAGGCCCACCCCGGGGATTGTGGACTCCAATGCCCACTGGACCTCTCGGACTTCCCATGGCTTCCGCCATCGCCACGAGCGATTGAGTTGTACACGCAGCATGCGCCCTCTCTGCCAAGATCGCCTCGCGGAGACGGCGTTACGAACCTGTGACGAAGGAAGGACGGTTCATTTGCGTCGCGTTTGAGGCTTCGGCGTCTGTGAGGGAGGATCAGTATGGCATGGGAGTAGGCAGGCGAGGGGTCGAGCGAGTTGTCTAGGATCCGAAAGCTGCCTTCTTGGAGGAAAGAGGGGGGAGGCTTCGGCGTTTGAGAGGGAGGATTAGTCTGGCAGGGAGTAGGTAGGTGAGGGGTCGAGCGAGTGGTGCACGATCGCGAAGCTGCCCTCTTGGGGAAAGAGAAGGGAGGGGGAGGACGTATGTGTGGGAGAGAAAGCTGCGGTCATAGGGCATATGACCCGGGGCGTCGACATGATCGGGTAGTTAAATGATTGCTTTGGACTTTTGGAAGGAGAAACTGTGTAGCGCGGCAACGTGTGTGCGTGAATCAGTGTTATTATCTATCTACAGCAACTAAACAAGTGACACGTGACTTGGCCAGTGAAGATGGTGGGGACCACCGCGCAGTCCCATGTGTATGTTCAATACCCACCGTTGAGTTTCGAACCTCCAGGAGCGGCGGCAGTGATGTACGACGATGGCAACAAAGCCATTATTCTACCGTCTCAAGATAAGGTCAGCAGCCAAAAAAAAAAAAAAAAGATAAGATCAACAGCAGGAAGGGAAAACACAGGAAAGAAGGAAAAAGAAAGAGGTTAAGGAGAAGTTTAAAAAAGAAGGAAAAAAGGGTGAACTTTGTGTGGAAAAAAGCCTCGAGGGTATGAAAGAATCAAAGAGGGGATAAAGGGGAGAGAACACAGCAAAAGGAAGAAAGGAGGGAAGGCGAAGGAAATGCGTGCAGGAAATAGTGTTAAGAGGAAAAACAAAGGGAAAAACGGAAAAGCAGAAGGGAAAATAAAGGAGAAAGAAAACCGAAAAGCGAGAGGAAAAAGGGAAAGGAAGAAATGTACGAAGAAACGGAGACATGGAGAGAGAAAAAAGGGCAGGAGGGGGGGGGAGGGGCCGAGTGACATCAGTGGCTTTCGCGTCCTCGCCTCTCGCCCCCCCCCTGCTCAGATCATCTCCGTTTTGGTGCTGATCATCATCTTCTTTCTAACTGATGAGCAGCTCGTGCCTCCCTGATCTTCTTCTTCTTCTTCTCAGGTGGAGGGGGCACTCGTATGGGCGACTGAAATTGGTCTCCTCCTCCTCCTCGATCGTCTTTGTGGTGGTTGCTGCCCTCGGCCCGCCGCCGTGGTCATAGTCTTTCTGAAAGATGAACAGCGGTATCTCAGATGATGTTCTTCTTCTTCTTCTTCTTCTTCTTCTTCTTCTTCCTACTATAAGCGGGATAATTCCGACAGTCTCCAGGGGTCCTCCTCCTCCTCCTTCCTCCAGCGATTACAGGGGACGGGCCTTTTTTTCTCCATGATCCGCACCGCCATCATGATCATGCTGATCGACAACATCATGATGATCGCCATCGCTGACATCTTCGTCTCATCGTTAGCTTGCTGAAAGAGGAAGGACGCCTGACTATTGCGCGTATTTTTCAACATAATTGAGTGCTTGACTCCCGTCAAGTAGTTGATCAAAGCAGTATGACTTTCATCCGTACGCTTGAGTTGGACGAGTGTAATACACCCACCCAACACATGACCGTAAGGTCTTGTTGATTGATCTCTATGATCGGTGCCCATTCGGTATGCCAATCGCTCGCGAAATCCGGTACTCGGAGACAAGAACGTTTTTGCGCTTGGCGGCTTTTTCTCTCCTCCAGGCTTTCCCCACTCTGTTTTTTTTTTTTTTTGTGTGTGTGTGTGTGCGTGTGTGCGTGTGTGTGTGTGTGTGTGTGTGTGTG